TGATATGCACTTTTTCTTATTATATTTATTTAATATCATATATCATATAATTATAAATTTATCATTTTAAATGATACTATTTTTTATATTAAACTTTCAAATTTTAAAAATTATATTAGTCTCAATTAATTTAAAATTAAATTACAATGAATCACATAAAAAAAATTTTAATGTCTATTACTATATTTATTAAATTTAAATTTAAGATTTTATTTAAATAATATTTCCACCAAAATATATGACTTTATTTTATTTAGACTTTATTTAATTCAAAAAATTAAATGATTAAATAAGTCAAAAAACCCACTTAAATGTTAAATCCCTTGCCATATAAGCATGGCAGGACAATATTTTGCCATCCAAGCAGCCAAGCATAAACGGCAGTTAAGCCATGCGAGCAAGTCCAAACGGCAGTTAAAGTTGACGTAAGAAGAAGGGCTTAATTGCTTTGATAGTAGAGTTTAAGGGCTTATATGCATCAATTAAAGTCTAGGGGCTTAATAGCAATTTTGGGGTTAGTTCAGCGGCTTAACTTATGGTTTTGCCAAATATTTAATGTTAATGAATTACAAAACTTTAATTAAATTTAGATATATAATGTTATTTGTATATAATAAAATTAATAAAAATAATTATAAAAAATGAAAATAAAATCAACCTATGAGTTAACCCATAACCCACTAAAGCTGAATTAGAATTGAACTTTTCCAACCCGCAACTTGTTTGCAACTCAAGCAGTATAACTAACCCAGAATTCGTTTACAACCCAACCTTTATAACGAATTAACCCAACTTGCCCATTTGCCAAGCCTACTTACCCAGTAATGTCAATGGACTAGACAAAACTAAAATGAATATGAAGGATAATAGATGTATTTAATAGTATCCAAAGATGATAGACCAAACAAAAAAAAAGTACAAAAATTACTAAATTATTTATCAAATTAAGCCTAAATACTGACATGAATCAACCTAAATAAAAAATTAACTAACAATAAAGACTTAAAGGTAAACCATGATTTTCTTACGTTAATACATCACTTTGAAAGAAAATAAACTATCTAGACTAAAGTGAAACTTTTTAATAGATGATCTAATAAATTTAGCCAATAGAAAATTTTTAAAGAGAATCGGTCAGCACACGTGCCAAATGAAAGTTAAATTAGTTCTAACTTCACAATTTTCAAAATGTCGACTTAAACATTACGCAACAAAGAATATACTGATCATAGCATCCAACCAAAACAGTTCAGGTTTTCATGACTTTATATATTTAGGCTAAATGCACAGAAACCTGTAAAACTTAAACAAAATGATGGTGCAATTTGGTTTTCCATTTCACAATTCAAAGATCCAGCTGGTATCTTTGTTAGAGACTTTTCCTTAGGACTTCGGGTAGATCTGATCAGATGCCTTATTCAAGTTTTCTTGTTCGACTTTGATGCTTGGTTCATCAACCACCATAGGGCTGACATCTGAAACCTGCAAGCACCAATGTTAACAGAAAAAACTTGAGTGATTACATAGAATTTTAGGAAAATGGTCAAACTGTTATAATCCTCGAATGTGAACTGTGTATTTTATCGATGAGCTTGTGCAGAGTTTACCTTTGTGTTTGCAGCTTCATCTGTTGCAGGCTCAAAGCCTCTAGCATGCTCAGCAGCTGCTTTCTGACCCTCCTGACCAACAGATAAGCCACGGATGTTAAAATCCCGACTTAAAAATTTATTGTGCACATGTCATGGAATAATAAGCCACCAATTTATGTTTTTTTCCCCTTTTTCCCTTTTCCAATAAGCTATCAAAACAAATCAGCAGCATTCTAAATTTGAAGAAAATATTTGAGTCATCCTCAAGCTTTTATGGTTTACAGAAAAAAATGAAAGGCCATTTTATTAAGAGATTAAGACCCTATGTTGTGTTTCTATGTTAAAGCGCATGGCTAATTAAAAGATATTGTGGATAATACTAAAAGACTTGGCATTTTATTTCTGTTTATGTTCGCACAGCCCAAGTGGGCTTAAGTTGTGATCTGCAGTGGATCACATTCATGTCATGCCTGAATTTAACTATACCTATAACAAAAGGTAGTCTGATTGTTCAGATTTCACCAGGGTTCAACACCAAACTAAGCAAAACATCACCATCTAATGCTGGCTAAAAAGAACAAATGGTCATGTGCTTGATTTCTCACACTAATGGCGGCTAAAAAGAAGGTACTGCTGGTGCTGGCAATAAGTACGGTAAAAGAGCAGAAGACGCCATTGAAATCAACTGCAACGGACTGTAATTGCCTCACTAGGTCTCATGATAATTCCACATTGAGATAGGCAGTTTAGGAAATCCTCGATCCAAGAACAAATGGTCATCCCAAACCACCAAAATGCATTCATGTCAAGCAGATAGACTTTTTCCCCCAGAAAAAAATAATAATAATAACAATAAATCTACTTAAAGCTTAATTCTAAAAAATTTTAAGTTATAATTGTTTCCCATCTGAGAATAGCAGTCAATTAATCACCAGAGTTCATCAAGATAAACATTTCTATAAGTATATCATCACAACCACATAACTTCTAATAATATAAAATGACAATCCATATAGAAAATAATTGGAAAAGAGCATACCAGATCTTTTGTCTCAGGTTCAACCACTTCTCTCTTTACTCTGCTTGGAATACGCTCCCTGGAGAGAACATGTGAGTAGGAATTTCATCTAAAAAGCAAGAGAAGGAAAAAAAAGGAGGTAATGAATGGTACCGCTCCTCGTCAACATCCATGTCTGAATCTGGATCCCATCTCTCATCTCCATCATCTTGATCTTCATCAGCCTAAATGATCAGTTAAAAAGCACATAGTTCAGCATAAACAGACAACATTCCATCTCTGATTGTTTCATTAGAAAGAAGGAAATCCTATAGCACTTAGTATTCCACTATGATTCTGAATATATGGGAATTAAATTGTAATATTTACTCGTATTTATATTTATTAGGATTTGATATTTTCAATAAAGATTTCTATTAAGAGTCTAATTAGCATTTTAGGATTTCTATATAGGCTTAAGTTGTATTATAATTAAAATTGTCTTCCAAAATCCCCAAATCTGTTATTCTCTTCCCATCCTTACCTCTGTTTCTATTATTCTCTCCTCACCTTTGACTCTATTCCCTATTTATCTAAAAATCCCTTTCTTGTTCTACATCACAGACAAATTGATTTTCATCTATATTGACAAGGTAAAACCATCAATGAATGCCATATCTGACTGTCATAACAACTGCAGCCTACTAAGAGTCTGAAGAACCAACCTCAGGAACCTCAGTATCAGGTGGCCGTTCATGAAATTCAACACTGGGTGCATGCTGAAGTTTTGATAGGTACTCAAGAAGCTTATTGCGAATTTCTTCAAGTAATTGGCGTGAGTTCTTATTTTCCATGTTACTAGGGGCAACATGCAGGGTGTAGTCTGGACCAAAATACTCATAATACTCATGTTGAGGCATCTTATCATCAACTTCCACTCCAAGGGCAACTCCTGTCTGCATACATATGTAGCATTATCAATAAAGTAATCACTAATCAACCAAACTAAAATAACCAAAAAGTGTTCTTTCAGATGTCATAACAAAAATTATGAAAATGAAAAAGAAGAAAAGGAAGAAAAAGGAATCAAACCAAGAAGTGTATCATCTACAATCAGATGCAATTATATCAGGAAAGAAAATACAGCAAATAACATTAAAGGACCAATAGTAGGAGCGTCCATCAGAAGTAACTGATTATGGCATGGTCAACAGTAAATGTCCAAGTTACTTCAAATATGAACAAAGGATAATAAGGCACTAAGATCAGCAAATGGTTGGACATCTTCAAAACTTTTAATTCCAATGTGTGGATTACACGATGGGGGGCACTCACAGACTCTATTGGTTGGCACCTTCGAGCATCTTCAAAGTTACCAACAAAGACATCTTTGCCAATAGATTCAGATAACTTGAGCTGAAACAAACACTCAAGATAGAGATGCCTTTTAACCATCCTCTGTGAGTACCCATCTTTCACATGGATCAGACTGCGCTTTTTGAAACTGAAGAGGAATGGGCATGGGTAATAAAACCTTTACCTAACAGGACAACAGGGTAGAAACAAGAAAGGATCTACCTTACTGAATTACCCTATCTGGAAAGACTACGTAATGAGAGTGTTTGTAATCGCTTTTTAATTATCAATTATGACTTTTCTAGTTATTTCATTGGCATAAAGTGTAGGTAAAAATTGTATGCTCAAAAGGTAAACTAATTACAGATCAGAAAGGGGCTGAAGTAAAACTTTTACTCAATCAGGTAAAAGAGGTACCCACGACCAAGCGGCCCAGCAGTAAGCCCGGCCTTGTGATCAGCACAAACTTGGGATCAACCCAAGTATTTACAATCCCCTTCCCCCACCCCTCTTCGATTGCCACATTTCCAGAAAAAAAAATAAAATATATATATATATATATGAAAAGAAAAGGGTATCACAGGTGATATGGGAGAGGTTAATTGGTACTATGTTCCAATTCTGACCCAATATCCATTAAGAATATATTTTAACTAATTACAACTGTAAGAAAAGTTACCTCATAGCACCAACAGCGAGCAACATTCCGAATTGTATAACCACCACCACCCAGCAGCAATAGTGGAACATTGAATGATCTCATGAATTTGACACACTCCGCATGACCCTTGATTGAAAGATTGAAGCATCCCAACCTATCTCCAGAAAGTGAGTCGGCACCACATTGAAGGACCACTGCTCCAGGCTTAAAAATTTCCATAACTTTTCCCATAATTGGTTTAAACAAGTAATGGTAACTCTCATCATCAATCCCATCATCCAATGGAACATTAAGGGAGTAGAATTTCCCTTTCCCATATCCAGTATCACGTATATCACCAGTACCCGGAAAATAATCTCCAAATTTGTGGAATGACACAGTCATGACCCTATCAGTAGTGTAAAATGCCTCTTCCACACCATCCCCATGGTGGATATCAATATCAACATATAGGACTCGCTTCGAAAGAGACAAGAACAAACATTAGCAATTACAAATGATATGATATGAGGTAACTACATGACCAATAAAAGGTCATATGCCATACTGGATTCTTCCACAATTACAACTTGCTGGAGAAATTAAATTGAAATCAACTGCAGTCCTATGCCATAAACCCCCTCAAATTCATTGGGAAATAATATAAAAGCAAAAGTTGGATAACCTATAGATTGAGAAATGAGGTAAAACTTACAAATTGAAATAAAAAACAGGCGATCCAACTCCATTTCCATTTAGTTCAATTTTAACAGACATAGTATTTGTTAGTAAAATTCCCCTATTGTACTCCTTTAATTGAAATATTTTTGTATTGCCAATAAAAAAAAATAATAATAGCCACATTAAGATCCAAATGAAAAGTGGAAATCTTTTACTAGTTGCCCAATCACATGTTAAATGGAATAAAATAAACTTATTGCGCAGATTACAGCAGGAAAAAAATGCGAGATGATTTGGTTGCCACATAAATGCAGATTCACTTTCTTTCTTTCAAATCAGTTAAGAAGACCATCCACAGCCATCAGAACCCAATTCAGGAAATGCCAGCAATGGGCTAACTGCAGTGGCAAAGTATGGTGGCAAAGTATGGTAACTCCTAACCTACCAAATAATACTATTAGGCTTTTGATAATGAACCACAATGTAAACCCTGAATAATCCATTCCTCTTGAAAGAGAAAAACATGAGGAAAACCCTAAGGCAAGCCACAGATAAACACAACCATAAATTACTATAAAACCCCCAATCCTACTCCACATTCGATCTTCATAACATGATTGTAGAAATATGCTAACATATATATGGCAACTTGCAAAATTGGTCACCAAGACCTAGGGGTGTTGGATTCATTAGAAGGCTACCGTAACCACTGATCCAATTTCATTTGTATGATTTTGGCAAATGTCTAGAGTTTCCACTCATAACTTTCTGTTTAATCCTGAGACTGAATCCTGTAATTAATAGCATCAAACTAAATAATACAGAAGATAAAATGGAAATTAGATACAGAACTTGCTAATATAAATATTATGGCCTTACGGTCATATAAAAAAACTTGTAACTGATGTCCAAATTAGTGAACAATAATAGAAGAAAAGATCAAATATCAAAACAACATACCTCATGCTGCTTAAGAAGTTCCAAGATTGCAAGGACGATATCGTTGACATAGCAAAATCCAGATGCCTCACACTTCTTCGCATGATGCAGGCCACCAGCCCAATTAATAGCAATGTCACTTTGTCCATGATTTAATTTGACTGCACCACCGACAGAGCCACCAGCATATGTCTGACAGAAAGAGTAAAGACCATCAAAGACAGGACAATCTTCACCGACATTAAACCGCTTGAGCTGCCTGAGCTGATCCTGCTGCGTCTCAGGGGTTATATTGCGGAGGAAGGACACATAATCATCAGCATGAAAGCGACAAAGATCCCTATCCCGGGCAGGAAAGGGTTTGAGGACCTGCATATGCTGAAGCAGCCCGTAGTGGGCAAGAAGCGCATGGGTCATCCTGATGCGGTGAGGCTTCATGGGGTGACCTTGCCCATAATAGTAATTTCCCACCTCTGGGTCATAGAAATAGCAGACCTTTCTCTTCAACCCATCAGGTCCAGATGGGAGGGAATTGCCTCCCGTATCCATCTTGTACAGTTCCTACTTATCTCAGATTTCTGTTTTTATTCAAGAATTCTAGTAAGATATCCTTACATAGCAGAAATTACAAAAAATAAAATATAAAAAATAAAAAATAAAAAATAAAAAAAGAAAAGAAAAGAGATCAAATATACATCAGCTTTATTATCCTTCACGGAACTCGTCGGAAAACACATCAATTGATGCAAACAAAAATTACCCAGAGAATGAAAAATAAATTAAAAAATAATAATAAAGAAAAGAAAGAGGAACTCGTTACACGATTATGAGGAATAAACAAAAAGAGAGCTTTGAATAACAATCATAGTAGTCAAAAGTCTCTGCGGCAAAGAGAAAGAAAAAGGGGGAGCAAGAAGGCTCCAGAATTGCCTATAAAGGAGATCGAAAGCGGAAGAAAAACCATGTTGGAGGTGTAGGGCGTACCTGGAGAATGAGAAGGTTGCCCTCTTCTTGATATGAATCTGCTGCGCTGTGTTCTGGTCTGCTCCGCACTCCGCAGAACGATTAGGCATCGTGATTTGTAACTGCGGCCTTTTATTTGTTTGAACTTCCCAACAGCAAGACATTTTTCATTATTAAAAAAAAAAAAAAAAAACTCACAAATGAACCCTATACTTTTGGTAATTATTGAAATGAACCCTATATTTTTTTCTTAATAAAAATCTCCCCCATACATGTTAAATAAAATTAGCCCTCTCACATATTTTGTTGAAATAAACTAGTTAAAACTGATGATATTATAGTTTCTCCCATCAATATTCATTAACTTCTTGCTAATTTGGCAACTTTGTGCTCTTTTTTTTTTTTAATGACATGGCATTTTCTTTATAGGTAGTCCAATTAGATTGGTTAATTTTTTCTTAGTAGCCAACTTGATACCAAGAAAAGAAAATGTCATGCCATTGGAAAAATTGGCCAAAGATTGTTAAATCAACAAGAGCTGAATGACTATTGAAGAGGGAAGTTGGAATGATGATGTCATTTGTTAAATTTTGGATAATTTATTTGAACCAGGATGTAAAATGTTTAATTTCATTCAACCTTAAGGTACAAGAGAGATTTATTTCAAGAAAAAATATAGGGATTCTGTTTACACCATAAATAACACCTAATTTGAAAATATTACTATAGGCAAGGAAATGATAGATCACCATGTAGCAAACTTCAAGTCTAATAGTGATCTAGTGTGGTGCAGACCATATTGAAGTGTTAATCTCTTATTATTAATTGGATTTAAAAAGTTAGTTGTAGGATTCAAAGAGGAGTTGGTGTAGTTTTCAAAGTTAGTGATTTGCCAAGTGAAGATATTTTAGAAAGTAAATGATGGTTATCAAACTTCAAGAGATTGTAGCCTAAAAGACTGTATACTAACAAATAGTTATGAGAAGTGGAGCAAAATGGAGGTTTTCTCCTCCAAATTCAACTCTAATCAAGCGCTAAATACCATCTTCCTTGACAATAATTAGTTTTAGGCCTACCTCTCTTAAGAGAATGCTAGTGCAACCTTACATCAATTTCTTAAACAACCAAGCATTATGTAGCAAATTTTCCATAATTGAGAGCTTTGAAACTAGCTCTCACTTAATCTTGTAAGTTACCTTTAGTTTGTCTTTTATTTGTTTCAATAAAGTTCACTTAACTTCTAGAATTTGAGATCAATTGTCACTTTTTTATTGTAATTGTTGTATATTAGATATGTCCTTGTAACTTAGATTTGCACTCATGAGTCAATTTACAAATTTGTTAATATTTAATACCGAGTCTGCCATTTTGGTTTATCTAAGTTTTACAATTGTTTTTAAATTATGTTAATGCAACCATGTTTTTTTATGTTTCAAAACTCTATTTTATTTCAAAATGTTCCTTATTTACACTTGTTTGTTTTGTTAGTAAGTTAATCAACTCTATCAAGATAATTTTTTCCAATAAGTTTATAAATATAACTTTAGTTTACAAGTATAGGTTTCATCATTTGCATAGTATAGTTAATGTTTACTTTCAATTGCCTAAAGGCTTGTTTGGTGCAGCTTGTTAGAGCTTTTGCTTTTTTGTACTGTTCATAAGTGATAAGTTTAAATTTTTATTGGAGGGAAAATTTAAAAGTTGCTTTTAAAAATAGGAAAAAGTGAGTAAAAAATGAATAAAATGTAAGTTTATGGAAGGTTTGAATTTGAAATTTTTTATTTTTTACTGTTTATTGTCTTTTTAAGGTTAAAAAAATATTTTAAAATGTAAGTTTTTAGGAGGAAAATTTAAACTTATGAAACATAAATAGTATCAAAAAGTTGAAGCATTTGAGAAGTTGCACCAAACGGACCCTAAGTCCATTACCATAATTCTTAGTTGATTCAATTTAGGTTAATCATCTCCTTAACAACAACAACAACAATATAAACAAGTTTGAATTACATAGTTCTTTTTTATTTTTACAAAAAAAAATTATTTTATTTTTAGAATAAAAAAACAAACTTGTAATTATTTTTATGATATTTTATCAACTAATAATGTTATTAGAGGGAGAAAAATGAAGTTGAAACTAATTCAAGAATACTTATCGAAGAATTAATAATTAATTGCAATCACAAAAAAATAGAATAATTAAAATAGATAAATTTGTAAACAAAATTTTAAAAATTCTAATTGTTTACAAATTTAAGGGGAAAGAACTATATAAGGTAGCTTTTCAACTCTTCTAACATATTAGACTCTAACCGCTAAGTAAATCTCAATCTGTTATGTAAAAAATTTTACTAAACATCTAATTGCAGAGATTTGAGAATATCCTCTAGCTTTTCCACTCTTTTTCTTTGAGCTGGCAAAAGAAGAAACATCCTTTACTCCCAAGCAAAGACAACCAACGAGGCCTATGAACTTTATATAATTTGTAAAATGATATTTTCTAGTAGAAAGTTTCACCGAAGTCCCTCTTAAGCAAATCATCAAACACATGGTGGGCTTGGCAAAGTAAGCTCTAAATCTTCCAAGCTTTGTTCTCCTCACGGCATAAAAGTTTTAGACAAACTTGCAGCTTTTCAATTAGATCAATATAGGAATTAATTCAATCAAGAAATAGCCAACCAAGATCATCAAAAAACTTCAATTTGTGAGTTTGAACGAGCACAAAACCCATGAGCAAAATAATGAGTTGATTCTCATGTGCTCTAACCAAAATCCTACTACTAAAAAGAGTTCATCTTGCTTTTTTCACATTGGTAGCTCTTTCATCATTCAACACCTTCCCTTGTTGTGCACCCAAAAAAAAAAAAAAAAGACCATCCCTCGCTTATACCCCACAATCAACATCTGTCACTTTAAATTTATGTCCAATTATTTAGAGAAAGGGCAAATCTTGAGATTCCATCAATCGGGTTAAAGAATATACAAGTTTCTCTTTGTCCTTGTCCAAAAATTTGTTTAATCATGAAAAGGGAGGGAAGGGGAATGGAAGGATACGATATCCTTCCATTTCCTTCATGTTCCTTCCCCTCATTTGAATAAGGAATTAAAATAAAAAATAAAAAACTTTGCTCCCTTATCTCCCCTCCTAATTTTTCGCTAACCAAATAGAGGATTTTTCAGCCCTCCCCTCCCTTTCTCTTCCCTCCAACTAAATATATTGTTTCTCGGTGATGATAACAAAAGGTGAATAAGGTGAAGAAACAAGATGGTTTTGAATTCTGCAGTAGGATTGAGTTGGTGGAGAAGTTGAGTATTATTTTTAGTTTACAAGTCTCAAAGTATAAATCGTTGTCAACAACCAAAGAGGGGTTTGCACTATATAAAACTAATTATCAATTTACTTTAATTTTAAGATCTTTTATTTTATTTTATTTTGACATATTAAAGTTCAATTCCAATGGGGATATTAGAGATTAATGTTGTGTCTATTTGTTCTACCAGTAGGTAAATCAATTTTCCTTGAACTAAACTAAGGTAAAACAACAAAGAAAAAATGGCTAATGAGATGGATAATTATTATGACAATAGCTTGTACTTTCTATATATTCTTAAATGATTTTTTTTTTTTTTACTTTTTACAAAAATTTTATAGTGCTAGAAAATATTGTGTTAGAAATAGATCGAAAGCAAAAAA